ACAGCCCCCAGTCTGGCACGCCCTCCGCTGACTCTCCAGACAAGGCCCAGCCTCCTGCGGTCCTGCCAGCCAGGACTTCATCATCATTCTCATTTCCCTGTGCGAGCAAACAGGGCGTGCCAATCTCCACCCCTTCGGCCCACCTGCAGCAGCTGGCAGAGGCCTGGGACCGGTTGGCCTGGGACAACTGGCCCAGTGGGAAGGTACATGGCATGTCACACGCCTTTCCCTGAGGCTGCATACCCATATCCTGATCTCCCCTCCTGCTTGGGGATTTTACTAAGGGGCCAAGAATGGGCCAGCAGGTGGCATGGTGGTTAAGGTGCTGGATTCACATTATGGCCAACCACAGTCGTCCCAGACCTGGTGGTTTGCTTTCTCATTCCCCCACCCCTGTGTTTCTCTGGTGAGTGCACATGTCCTATCGCTAAATTTAAAAAGAAGAAGAAGAAATCAAGTTAATACATAAATCCTTTTGAAAAAAGGGACCGAGAGAGACACAGAGAGAGAGAGAGAGAGAGGGACAGAGACAGGAAGACAGAGAGCCCTAAGGTGGAAAGGTCAGCTGCCCAAGGGTCTACCTCTAGGAGGGGCTCCCTGCTGTTTTGGAACAATGGGGGGGCCTTGCTGGTATCCCTCTCCCTGTGCATGAAGCTTTCTGTTTCTCAAAAAAACTTCTGTTTTTCCCAGGACCAGCAGTTAGTGTAATGGCTATGCCGCTGGACTCCCACGTAGTCGACCGCGGTTCAAGTCCCAGACCCGGTGGTTAAACTCCCGCTGGGTGCATGTGCGTGCGTGCCCAAGATGCCGAGAGGAGAATGGAGGAGAATGGATTGCGGCATGGCCATCCCCCTGGGGGGTGATTTCTCGCTTTCTGTCTCTCTGTCTCTCTCTGTCTTTCTGGAAAGCACACACGCCCTATAGCAAAAACCTCTCAAAAAGAAAAACAAAAAACAAAACTTCTATTCTTCCCCAGTACTCATGCCTTTGCACATGCTGTTCCCTGGTCCAGAAGGCCCTTCTGGGTCATTTGCTCGTGAGTCCTGTGCTCAGGTGTGGGAAAACTTTCCTTGTATCCCACAAGGGGTCCCAGCAGCTTCTTTGATGCCAGGTTGTCTGCTCATATGCACACGCTTCCTTCCCCTTCCCTTCCCTTCCCTTCCCTTCCCTTCCCTTCCCCTTCCTTCCTTCCTTCTTTTCTTCTCTTCTCTTCTCTTCTCTTCTCTTCTTTTATTTATGACCATTGATATTCTTGATTTTAGCTGTCAATTTTTATACCTAATGGCTGCTACTTTTCCTTCTTCTGTCGTCTTCAGACTTTTAGTGACATATAGTTTCTTCTATAAGGGTCCAGAGATCGGTCTAACTGATGGAGACACAGAAAAGACAACAACAATGCAACTACAAAAGAGGCTTTTATTCTTTTTCCAGCTAGCTGGGGTCTGAGTTTCTGCCCGTTGCAGCGGGCCTTAACAAGGACTCCCGAGCCTAAGAGAAAGGGATCTTTTATAGCTCCGAATCGCAATGCAGGAAGTACAGTCAGTAATTTTCCACTTGAGGGAGGGGGTGTGTGAAAGCCAACTGTCACTATATGTTTAGGTTTAGATTAGGACTTTCAGTTGAGGTCAGGGTGACCTGGCCCTGGCATCGTCAGGGCCCATCTTACTTTATTTATGTGCGTGCATGCCCAAGGTCTCAGACTCCCCGGGTTCTGTCCTTGAGGGACCAACATGGCGGTGGTTGTGTCAATTTGGCCTAACACTTCTTTCTTTCGACCTATAGCAAAAACCTCTAAAAAAAAAAAAGAGAGGGAGAGATACCGGAAGTCTGAGAGTTCAAGCCTGCACAGAGGAAGGAAAAGTGGAGGTTGCAAAAGCCTCAAGGCAAGATGACTTTGGTTTATATTCACCAGCTGTGTGACCTTGGGCAAATTGCCTAACCTCTCTTTACCTCATCTTCGTCTCTATAAAATGGGAACCATATTAATTTGCACCTCATATGATTGAGTGAGAATTACATGTGTTAAGATACAGAAAGGATGTAGAATATTGCCTGGACTGTTCCAATTGCTCAATAAATATTAGCCATTATTGTTATTATTATTAGAGTGGACTTAGCGATAGAGTTACCCAAAGGACTAAATAATGACAGTTTTTTTTAATCTTTCTTTTAGAGGTTTTTGCTATAGGGCGTATGCACTCGCCAGAAAGACAGAGAGAGACAGAGAGACAGAAAGTGAGAAATCACCCCCCAGGGGAGATGGCCATGCCGCAATCCCTTCTCCTCCATTCTCCTCTCGGGATCTTGGGCACACACATGTCCCCGGCGTGAGTTTAAGCCACTGGGTCCGTTGTTGACTACGCGGGAGTCCACCTACATAGCCATTATGCTAACTGCTGGTCCCATGACAGTTTTTCAAATTTATTTAAAAATGTTTCCAAGGGTAGAGAGCAAAGAATCCCCCACCTCACCCCATCTCCCTACATATGGGGCATGGTCATGCTACAATCCCTTTTCCATTTCTCCCTCTTGTAGAGATTTGGGGCATGCACACACATGTGCCTGGTGTATTTCTCAAGTCACTGGGTTCCGATCTCGAACTACGCAGTTGGCCATGTGGGATCTAGCTGCCTTAACCCTCATGCCATGGGCCCCAAAGTGCCTTTTTTCTTTTTTGTTACAAGGCACATGTACTTGCTAGACAGAGAGAGAAAGAGATGAAAGAGAGAGGGTAAGTGGGAAATCACCCCCCAGGAGGACGACTAGCCACAGCCACTTTTCCTCCAGTCTTCTCTGGGGATTTTGGGCATGGATGCACGCATGCTCAGTCTGATTATAGTGCCTTAACCACCACACCACCTCCTGCCCCCCCCCCAAAACTGCTTTTTAAAAAGTTAATTTCTTCTGGGGCCGGCAGGTGGTGTGGTGGGTAAAGGCCCTGGAGTCCCACATGGCCAACTGCAGTTCAAGTCCAGGACCGTCAGTTTGCTTTCTTGCTTTCCCTTTCTCTCTCTCTCTCTCTCGCTCTCACAAAATTAAAAAACAATAATAACAAATGGAATTAAATAAATAAATTATAAAAATAAAATTAGTTTAAAAAAAGTTTTTCTTTCTTGCATGAACAGGAGAGACAGCGAGAGAAGCACTCACCGGGGGTTTATGCTGTGACCCACCCTCCCCTCCAGACTTCCCACTCAGCCAGGATCATGCTACTCAGGCCTGGCATGTTCATGTGAGCCGCGGAACCGAACCTGAGATCTTCCGTGCGGACCCAGCATCAGCTGGGCAGCAGTTCTGCGGCACCACAAAGCTGGCCTGGAGTGCTTTCAGTGGTCTTTTCTACCACCATTCTTCTTTTATATATTTTTTAAGAGTTATTTAATTATTATTATTTTTAAATTTACTATAGGGCATGTGTACTCACCAGAGAGTGGCAGAGAGAGAGAGAGAGAGGGAGGGCAAGTGAGAAGGCAAGCTGCCAGGTTTGGGACTCAAACTGTGGTTAGCCATGTAGGAGTCCAGCACCTTAACCACCATGCCGTCTGCTGGCCCCCTCTACCACCATTCTTAAAAATAGCAAGAAAACAGCAGTAGCTGATCCATCAAGATATCCAGAATTAATTCACGAGTGGCAGGGCCATCCTTTTTTTTTTTTTTTTTAAGATTTTTACCATAGGGTACATGTGCTCACCAGAGATAGACAGTGCGAGGGAAAATGAGAAATCACCTCCAGGAGAGATGGCCACCCCATAGTCCTTTCTCCTCCACTCTCCTCTCAGGATTTTGGGCACGCACACATAGGCCCCACCATGGTTTTCAAGTCCTAGGTCAGGGACTGGGTTGGTACTCAGTCATGTGGGAGTCCAGTACCTCAACAACTACGCCCCCTGGGGGACCAGCAGTTAGTGTAATGGCTATGTCGCTGGACTCCCACGTAGTCAACTGCGGTTTGCGAATTGAGGCTGCTTTCCCGCCCCAGAGCCCGGGGTCTTCCCATCGCCTTTGTAGCTCTTGACTCCCAAGCCCAGGCCATGGCTGAAGCAGGACACAACATCAGGCATTGGGCCCTAGGACTGAGTGGGGCTGGAAGGGGCTGTTCCTCTGTACCTTGTGGTACCCACAGTGCAGAGCACTAGCAGGTGCTCACCAATCACTCACTCTGTCTTCTGTAGCAAATTAAATAACAATAAATGAATTATATAAATAATTCTTTAAAATAGAAAGAAAATGCAGATTTTCCTCCTCATTTCGAGTTCCCAGTCTCCTGTAGTTCCATTCAGGATCCTTCCACATCTTATCTCCAGATGATCCCTTTTATTCTAGCTCTCAGGAACGTAAGTGACCCGAATTAATTGAGAACTGCAGTGGGGAGTGGGATAGGAGGCGGTAAGGATCTCTCGGCTGCCTCATTCTCTGCGCACACTGGTCAAACGTGTAAGGACTCTGGGGCAGTTTTCCCGTCGCTGCAAGGCGGTGGGAACCACAGGTCGGCGTGAACGCGGGTCCTAGGCGAGCCCCCCGGCTTAGGAACCGAACGGG